GACGAGCAGTTGGTGGAGCAGGCGAGGCCGAACCCGTGCGAACGGCAAGAAGAGGCTGTGGCGCGTGCGCTGTCGACGGCGGACGACCCGTTTGACATCGCAATGGTGGAGAAGATGTACGCGCGAGCGGTTGAGTCGGAGTTTGTGTCTGCGGTGGTAGGCGAGCGCAACTCTGTGAGTGCGCAGTTTTGTGGGCGACTTTCGCGAGGTGCTCAAGCAACGTCCACGAGTCGAACGATGAGCTCAAGGCAACGCTTGTCAACCTCTCCTCCCCCCCCCCCCCGCCTTGCACCGAGTGGACAGATTAATCCACACCGTGTTGAACATGACATCGCCACACTACTACTCCCTACCCCCCCCCCTTCTTGGGAAGAAGGTGGGTATTCGTTACCCATTGCCCACAATCGCCTGCTGTGCCTTGGCCGTCCAACCTGGTGCAGAACGAGAAATCGTACTGTCAAGAGCTGTTCGTCGAACAACACGACACGCAGTTCCACCAAACAGGGCTAGCCCAGCCCACAATCCAAACCCAAACTCACCATCCTCCCTGTCCCATCTATAGAGTTGAAGGCTTAGGTGTGCTACACTTGTTTCATCATGCTACGAACGGCTAGGACCGCACTGGTCGTGGCGGTCATGTTCATCGCAGCGCTCGCTACAGCTGCTTCGTCGCCATCGTCTCCTGCGGTCTCGAACTTGCCTGCGGGTGATTCTGGATCGCCAGCCGAGGCTAGGCTCCGTGTTGATGGTCACACCTGGTTCTCCGAGCAGATTGGCCTCTCGCCGCCACACCTCAACTTTGAAGCCCGCCCGCTGGCATCGCCGCTGATGAAGCCTGTGCTTGTCATCAATGGCCTCACGCTCGCGCCGCTTGTCATCGAAAAGGTGGTCACCGACTCGATCCACTTTTTCCCCTCGGTCACGCTGCCGCTGGAAATCCCACCGCTCTCCAACGCCTCCATCCCCATCGTCTTTGTACCGCGCGACCTTGGCCGGGTCGAATCGCAGATTGTCCTCGTCACTTCGGAAGGCCGCATCCCGTACCCGGTGTTTGGAACCGGGACGCCGTCACCGCTCCACCTGGACCCGCTCGTCGACATCCTGCTCTTCCCCGAGCAGCGCCTCACCCGCCCGCTGCATCTGTTCAACCCTTTCCCAGACAAGGACCTTCGTGTGCTCAACATCTCGTCGTCGGGCTTTGCCTTTGAGCTCCACGTCCTCCCCGAGAACTCGGACCTCCGCGACCGCGCCTGGAACATCCCGCCTCATCGCTCGTCGCACGTCGGCTCGCTCGTTTTCGCCTCGCCGGTCCCTGGGGCCTACACCGGAGCCTTTGTCAACATCAAGACCGACGCCCAGTCGGTCTTTCTCCCGGTTGACATCACTGTCATCGACGCCGGCCTCCACCTCCAGCCCTCGTTCCTCGACTTTGGCCACATCACCTCGCCCGACTCGCCCAAGACCCTCAACCTCATCCTTTACAACGCCCGTTCGGTCCCGCTCCTTATCACCGACGTGTACCTGCCCAAGCCCGAGCCATCGCTTCGGATCCGCTTTGCCCGCAACACCGTCGCGCCAAAGTCGTCGCTCGTCATCGCCGTCCTCACCTTTACCGGCAAGACCGAAGGCACCTTTGCCTCGTGCCTCCTCATCGCCACCAACGCCACCCAGGCCGATGCCTCGGCAGACTTTGCCTCGGCCTCGGAGGCCGAGCGCCGCTTTGTCTCGCCGCCGCAGACCGGCGGTGCCTCCAACGCTGTTGCCGGCGCCACACAAGGCGTCATCCAGACTGCCCCACCCCAGACCTCGCTCTTCCCGTCCATCCCGCACACACTCTCTGTCTACGCAGAGTCCGGCGCCTTGCTCGAAGTCGGCTACTCGGCCACGGTCCTCTTTGGCTCGCTCGGCTTCTCGTCGCGCAATACCTCGTTTGCCGTCTCGGAGCCGCCGTTTGTCGAAACGCACCGTGTCCTCGTCCTCACCAACAAGTTCCCCATGGCAATCATCTTTGTTTCGGCTTACGTGCCGGACCCCAACTTTCGCATCACCAGCTTCCGCCCCAACCGCATCCTGCGTCCAGGCGCCTCGGCGCCGATCATCTCCATTGCCTTCAAGGCAAACTCGAGCTCGCTCGTCTACTCGACCCCGCTTGTTCTCCGCACCAACGTCTCAGTCCTCACCATTCCTCTCCAAACCTACTCGGGCAAGCTCGACTACGACATCGTTGATGCGCACTCATCCCCGACGTCCGATGCACCCTCTTCGCAGGCGGCGCGGGATCCCAACGCGACAGGCTCGACCGCTGCCTCTGAGTGGGACGGCACCCCGCTCGAGGGCGTGACGACCCCGGTCCTTGACTTTGGCCTCCTTGGCGCCGACGAAGTCCGTTCCCGCTCGTTCAACCTCTCCAACTCGGCGCCCATTTCGCTCACCGTCCACGCCATCACTTGCGACTTGCCCAACGTTGTCATCCGCCTCGACTCGATCTCCAACGCCTTTGGCTACACCACGCCCATTGCTGCACTCCCGGCCGAGCCGAGCAACCCTTCCAGGGCGACGCCCAACGCCGCTGACGATGACACAGCCGCCGCCGCGATCACCCCGGATCCGTTCTTCCTCAAGGCTGGCTACTCGGCCATTCTCATCGCCGAGCTCACCGCTGCAGGCGTGACCGACGCCTATGGCACCATCTCCGTCGCCACCGACTTTGAAACGCTCGACATCCCGGTCCACTACAATGCCATCTCGGGCTCGCTCGATCTCACCCCGTCGCTTGTCCGTTTCGGCCCGGCCTTCCCGGACTGGTTCCTGGCGCTGACATTTACGCCCGCAACACGTACGACCGCACGCTCACGCTCACCTCGATGACCTCATCCGACGTCCGCGTCGTGCCCGAACTCAAGGTCACACAGCTGCCACCGGGAGAGCGCGTTTGTATCGGCTCGGTCGTCTTTGACGCCGCCCGCGGGCCCAAGACTCAGAACTTTCTCACCACCGCCCTCACGTCGGCCCTCGACTCGGCGAGCACCGTCCGTGCCTCGCCGCCGAATACGCCTCTCACCAAGGCCGACGCCCGCATCTTCTCGCGGCGCACCGACATCTGGACCCGCATCACCTCGAAAGCCTCGACCACGATCCGCGGGACCGTGACCCTTGCCTCGGACGTTGTCGAGGGTGCGCGTATCTCGGTCCGCGCCGCCCTTGTTCAGCCGTCGATCCTCCTCCCGCCGCCTGCTGCCGACGCGTCGACGCCCAGCGACGCCGACGCCATCCTCGTCTTTGACCTCGTCCATGTCTCGGGCTCGGCCTCGTTGCCAGTCACCGTGTACAACCCTGCCGACGTCCCGGTCTCGTTTGCGCTCCTGGGCGTGACCGGCCCCGACGGATCGGCACTCGATGCGTTTGCCTGCTTTGGCGATGCCAACGTTGCCGACGGCTTCACCTCGGGCTCGCTCGAGTTGCCCGAGTCGCCGAATTGCGACTCGGGCCCGTTTGCACTTGTCGAGCCAAGCGGTTTGCTCTTCTCGTCGTCGCCGTCGCTGGTTGTTGTCGAGCCGCATGGCTCGGCTGCCATCGGATCAATCATGTTTGAGCCGACCGCCGCCGGCCCGGCCGCCGCCACCGTCCACGTCCGGTCCAACCTCACGTTGGTCACCTCGTTCCCGGTCACGGGCACGGGCGGCAAGGCGGTTCTCCAGTTTGTGGAGAAGCGGCTGCGGCCCAAGTCACCCAAGACAGTCTCATCGTTCACCAGGGGTGCGGTGGTCGTGCTCGACAAGCTCGAGCTCGCGCTGCCCGACGCTGCTCTGGAGACATGCGCCTCGGACGACGCCGTGCACTCGCTCCTCACCGACGGTTCGTCGCTCTCGGCGGCGCTGGCCGTCACGGCTTCGTTCACTCTCCGCAACTCTGGTGACGTCGAGGCCGAAGTTGTCCAGGTCGGTGTCATCGGTCCGAGCGCAAGTGCCTTTTCCGTTCACTCGGCACATGAGCGGTTTGTCCTCGCCCCGGGCGCATCCCACGAGGTGACCCTCACGTTTGCGCCCGACTTTTCGACTCTGCTCTCACAGGCGCAGCTCGAGGTGGCCACCTCGCGCGGCGGGCGGCTTGTCTTTACTGTAGAGGGCACGATGGCGCCGGCAACGCTGGCGGCCTGCGCCGCGCACGTCTCGTTTGCACCTTCGGCAACCCGCTGGATCCTTCTTGTCGTCATCTCATCACTCTTGGGTGCCGTCCTGGCGCGTGTCAAGTTCCGTGCCAGCGACACACCGATGGCGCTCCTCGCCGCCGCAGTCGATGAGGCCGAAGCTGGGGCGCGGGCAAAGGCAGCCAACAAGCCGGCGTCGCCGAGCAAGCCGTTGCCGTCAGGCACAGTCCCTCGGCCTCCGCCAATTGCGCAGCAGCCGCTAGAGGACGGTGAAGAGTCGCCCGCTATTGCCCACGAAATCGGGCAGGCTAGCGACTCGGAGTCGGAGGAGGCTGCCGACGTTGACGTCAACGATGACGTCGACGCCGCAGATGGGCCGGCCCAGGCCCAAGCCGCAGCTGAAGCTGCCAAGGCTGAGGCTGAGGCCGAGGCCGAGACCAAGGCTGCAGCTGAAGCCGCAGCCGCTGAGCAGGCCGCAGCTCGGGCCCGCATCGAGGCCGTCAAGGCCCGCGAGGCCGAGGCTCGCGCAAAGGCCGCAAAGGCCCGCGAGGCCAAGGCTCGCGAGGATGCGATCAAGGCCCGCGAGGCCAAGGCGCGTGCCGAGGTGAGAGAGGCCCGCGAGGCTAAGGCCCGGATGGAGGCGGTCAAGGCCCGCGAAGCCAAGGTCCGCTCCGAAGCTACCAGGGCCCGTCAGGCTAAGATGCCGCAAGCTCGAGCGGAAGCTCAGCAGGTGGCACCACCCCCGAGCCTAGTCGACGACCGTCGGTGCAAGCAGCGGTCCGAGAAGCGGTCCGAGAAGCGGTCCGAGAAGCGGTCCGAGAAAAACAAGCGAAGGAGCCGTAAGGACCGCAAAGAACGCAGTGGTCGCACCGAGCACGGCGGGCGCGATGCATACCTCCTCGACTCGGTGGACATCGGCAAGGGTACGTTCCGTGATGGATACTTTGTGAGCGAGAAGCCGTCGCAGGCAATGGCGGTGCCGCTGAGCCCCGCGCGCGAGCCGCGAAACGCGCGGCCGGTGCATGCGCCGGGCACGTTTGGGGCGATCGGCTCGCCCCCCAAGGCGGTCGGGCCGCCGGGCGCGAGCAGCCCCGGGGCCCATACTGCCTTTCTCGTGCCCCCCGGCTCGGGGCGTGGTGGCATCCGCAAGAACCTCTCTGACGACGACCTCGTCAACGCGCCGAACCGGTCGGACCCGATTGTGACGCCGGCGCGGCCGTCGGGCCGTGGCCGTGGGCGGTACACCGGGTCGACGCCGCCCAAGGCGGCGGTAGGCCTGCCGCTCGGTCAGCAATCGCAAGCTGGAGTCAGCCTCGCACCGCCCGCGACCTCGCTGTTTGGCGCGCCGTCAGCCGCCCCAGGTGCATCGTCGTCGCTCTTTCCGGACCTCTGGGCCCCGTCTTGCTTTGTGCAGACACCGCCTGCATCGGCCGCGCTCGGCAACCAGGCGTTCACCTCGTCGAACCCTTTCACGTCGGGCGCGTTTGACGCCAGCACTGGTGCACCGCTCATGGGCGCCATCGGGTTGCCGCCGCGGACCAACACCGTTGCGCCGCCGTCCGGCGTGGCGCCCATCGGGTCGCCACCGCGATCGTCGGGCGTGGGCGCCATCGGCGACGGCAAGCCACGGCGGCCTCGGTCACACCGCCGCCGGTAGTCGCTACCAACCCCCTCAATAACACCTACATGTGGCCTCCATGTCCTGCACCCGTCGCTCGACTGCCAGCTCAAAAGCGCCGGCCGAAACGGGCACTTGACTCGTTGCCAACGACCGTGCCGGCGGGCATGAGCAGCGGAGCGAGCCAGGCGGATGAGCTTGTGTCAGACTTTGTGGTGGCAGCAGAGCACTTGCGGGAGATGGCGAGAGCGCGGAACGGGGGCGAGCCCGGTGCCAGGGGGGGGCGACGGCCGCGGGCAGGAGTGGCGAAAAGGTCGTGGTCGCCGACAACTGGCCCGAGCTGCCGTTTGTGTGCAAGACGCTCGAGGCTGCGCTGATGCATGGATTCAACGGAAAGACCTCGATCTTTCGCGGCAAGCGCGAGTACTTTCATTGGCTGGAAAAGCGGCGTCCGAGGGGCTCTTCACCCCGGCAGCGAAGCAGGCCATGGCCAACGCTGTCGAGTTCTCGGGCATTCGCACTCCGCTCGGCCGGGGACGGGCGTTCATCCGTGCGGCTCTGGTGGCATGCGCGCTGGGTGATGCTATCGAGGCTGCATCCTCGGTCATCAAGCTCCTTACTGCGTTCTACCTCGACAAGGCTCTCATGCGCGACAACAAGCTCCGTGGCAAGCTGCTGGACGAGATCCGGTCGCTCGAGGCCGCTGTCTGGTTTGACCTTCATCCAGGCGATGTGAGCCTCGACGATTCTTGGGAACCGCACGCCGATGTGGCGAGAATCTCGGTCGAGACCGTGGCCGAGCCGGCGGCTGTAGCGGCTGTGGCGGCGGAGGCCGAGCCGGCGACCAAGGCGGAGGCCCAGCCGAAGGCCGAGGCCGAGCTGAAGACCGACGGGTCTGATGTGTCGGTCGCAGTGGCAGCTGTGCGGAAGAATGCGCGTCGGAGGCTGGAAGAGATGCAGACACATCTGGAAGTGGTGGAGAAGCGTGCGGTGATGGCCGAGGCCGCATTGGCGCGCGCGGTCGATGCGGACGAGCTTGAGGCTGCAAAAGCTGAGGCGGCGGCGGCGGCAAGGGTCGAGGTCGAAGCCGAGGTCGAGGCCGAGGTTGAGGCCAAGATAGAGGCTGCCAAGGCCGAGGCGGCGGCAGCAGCCAAGGCCGAGGTCGAGGCCGAGGTTGAGGCCAAGATAGAGGCTGCCAAGGCCGAGGCTGTGGCGGCGGCAAGGGTCGAGGTCGAAGCCGAGGTTGAGACCAAGATAGAGGCTGCCAAGGCCGAGGCTGTGGCGGCAGTCAGGGCCGAGGTCGAGGCCGAGGTTGAGGCCAAGATAGAGGCTGCCAAGGCCGAGGCTGTGGCGGCAGTCAGGGCCGAGGTCGAGGCCGAGGTTGAGGCCAAGATAGAGGCTGTCAAGGCCGAGGCAGCGGCGGCAGCCAGGGCCGAGGTCGAGGTCGAGGTTGAAGCTAGGGTTCAAGAAGTCGAGTCTGACGCTGATGCCGAGATGCAGAGCCTCAGGGCTAAGCTTGACACTGTGGTAGACGATGCGCGCCGTGAGTCCGAGAAGGCGCACGCTCGTGCTGCTACACTTGAGGCTGCGCTCGCCGAGGCACGCACAGGTTTTGGCGCTGACGCCGAGCAGGCCGTGGCGCGCATCAGTGAGCTCGAGCACGCCCTTGCTGAGGCCGCCGACACAAAGACAGATCTGGAAATGGCTCTTTCGCGGGCCACCGACCAGAGCGCCGCCCTGCAAGCCGAGCTCGAGACCAGCACTGCGCAGGTCACGCAACTGCAGGCTGACCTGTCTGATGCCCAGCTGGCTGCCGAAGCTGATCGGTCTGCTGCCGCTGGCCATGTTCAGCGTCTTGAGCACACCGTTGCGGTTGCTGAGGCAAGTGCTGCCGAGTCGAGCAAGGCTTGTCAAGCTCTTCGAGTCAATCTTGCCACCACCCAGGCCGAACTAGTCGCAGCACAGGACACCTACGCCGAGTCAGCCGAGTCCCGCGACGCTCTCCAGGCAGACCTAGCCTCCGCCATCGCAGCCCGCGATGCGCTTGAAGCAGATCACGCCGTCGCAATCTCGCAGCTCCGCCAAGAGCTGGCCGAGTCGGTCGAGTCCCGCGACGCTCTCCAGGCAGACCTAGCCTCCGCCATCGCAGCCCGCGATGCGCTTGAAGCAGATCACGCCGTCGCAATCTCGCAGCTCCGCCAAGAGCTGGCCGAGTCGGTCGAGTCCCGCGACGCTCTCCAGGCAGACCTAGCCTCCGCCATCGCAGCCCGCGATGCGCTTGAAGCAGATCACGCCGTCGCAATCTCGCAGCTCCGCCACGAGCTGGCCGATACCCTCGCTTCTCGCGGCTCTGAGCTTGACAAGACGAAGAGCGAGTTGGAGCAGGCGCGAGCCGCCCTGGTCGGCCTGCGTGTCGAACTCGACGACGCCATCTCTGCCCGCGATGCCGCGACTGCCGAAAATGAGAGGCTTTGCGCCGAACTTGACAGCGTCCGCATCGCCCGTGATGCTGTCGTAGAGACTGCAGCTGGCGATAAGGCTGCGGCCGACGGTCTACACGCGGCGCTGGAGGAGAAGCAGTCTGAACTCGACGCACTGGCTGAGACTGTCTTGCGCCTCGAGGCTGAGGTCGATCACGTCCGGACAGCTCTGGCCACCGCCGAAGCCGAGCTGGCAGCAAAGGTCGAGGCCGTCACAAAGTACGAGGAGCAGAACATGCGGTTGGTGGCCGAGCTCGGATCCACCAACAACCTCGAGTTGCAGCTCGAGGCTGCCACCGCAGAGGCGGCGGCCACAGCCGACGCACTCTCGATGGCCTGCGCCGAGCGCGATGCTGCCCAGGAGCAGATCCACAGCCTCAATGCCAGGCTACAGAAGAGCACCGCTGCTCACGCAGGCACCCAGGCCGAACTCGACAACGCCCGCGGCGAGCTCGACAAGGCCCAGGCCGCTAGGACTACTGCCGAGGCCGAGCTCGCGCGCGTCAGCAAAGAGCTTGCGAGCGTTACCGACCAAGTCCGCGAGACTGCCTCGGCCCGCGACGCGCTCGCCGCCGACCTTTCGGCCGCCGAAGCCCGGGCCGCGGCCGCCGACGAGGCGCAAGCCGCCAACGCTGCCGCACTCGCCGATGCCAACGCGCAACATGCCGCCGCCGCTGCTGCCGCTCGTGCCGAGTACGAGTCTGTCGCCAAGCAGCTGGCAGACCGGAACTTGCTCTACGAGGAGCTGGAGGCGGAACTTGCATCCCAGCAGACCCGGACCGAGTCGCTCGCCGAGTCTGTCTCGGACCTGCTCGCCACCGTCGCCACCCTCGAGGAGGAGCTCGAGGCCAAGGCGGCACTGGCGTTGGAGAAAAAGTGGGTGCCCAACTCGGCCACGTCCGACTGTATGGGCTGCACTACCAGCTTCTCGATGACCCGACGACGGCACCACTGCCGATCGTGCGGTGGCGTGTTCTGCAAGGCGTGCTCGACGTCGCGGGCCCAGCTCTCGTCGGCGCCCAAGCCGGTCAGGGTATGCGACGCATGCTACGCCAAGCTGCAAGCGGCGAAGCCGTAAAACAGAGAAACATGCCACGGTGGTGCGCGTGACAGCCACCGAACCGAGTCCCCATAGTTCTGGACTGTGTTGTTCATTTGGAGGCGCGCCACACCGCGCTCATGACGGGCTAGTTCGACGGGACCTGGTAGTTGTCAATCTGGTCGAGCAGAGTCTGCGAGTAGCCCGGAGCATAGAAGCGGACGACCTCGGCCGGGTAGCACGAGTTGATGACGTCGATGTGGGCGCGGAGCTCGGTGCCGGCCTCGGCGTCGACCTCCTGGATCTTCTGCAAGCCGCCGTTGGTGACAAAGTCGCGACGCGACTGGACATCGTGCGGGAGGACCTTGGCAAACTGGCCGACCACGTACTTGAGGACGTTCGGCGGGGCGACGTGGAGGAGTGGGTCGAGCGCCGGGAGGTGAACGCACTTTTGCAGGACGCACTTGAGCGCGCGCTTCGACTTGTTGCGCAGGTCCTCCGACGATGCCGGGTCCATGTACACCTCGAGGAGCTTGGGGAAGACATTGGCGTCCGCCAGCGCCTTGGCATGGTCTGGTGTGTGGCGCCCGATCTGGCCGAGCGCCCACGCGCACGCAGCCTTGACATGGTCCTCGGTCTCGGCAACGAGGGCGGCAGCAATGGGCGGCACGCCCTTGTCGGCAATGACCGCCATGGCCAGGGCCTCCGAGAACGCCGAGATGTAGCCAAGCGTCATGACGCCCGGAAGCCGAGCGTTGCCTGCTGTCTCGTTGACATAGTCAACCATCGCCGCCGCTCCGCCGGCGTTGACAATCAGCTGCGCCAGCATCGGCGTGTGCTTGGCGATCTCGCGGATGAGCGTCGCCGAGTTCTTCTGCACCAGCGCATCGACGTCGCGCAGGCATTTGAGCACCTTGGGGAAGATCTCGCCCTCCACCACCAGCTCCGCAAGGTCAACCGAGTGCTTGGCAATCTGCGCCAGCGCCGAGCACACCTGTCGCTTGAGCCGCGCGTCCGGATTGTGGATGAGGGGCGCGAGGTACGCAATCGCCCCAACGTCGACCACAGACTGCGCCAGCTCGGGTGAGTGCTTGCATATGTCGGCAAGCGCAGACGCTGAAATCCGCTTGAGCGTCAGCTCCGGCTCCTGCACGCACTGCACAAGCTGCGGCACGGCGCCAGCGTCGACCACGGCCTGCGCCAGCTCGCCGTTGTGCCGCGCCACATACCCGAGCGCCCACGCCGCCGCCTCCTTGACTCCAGGGTCAAACTCCTCCAGACAAATGACCAGCTCCTCCAGCGCCCGCGAGTCGACCACCGCCTGCGCAAGCTGTGGAGAGTGCTTCGCCACCGCCCGGATGACAAACGCCGCCGCTTTCTTGTAGAATCGATTCTGTTCACCGAGCGAGTACACTAGCTGCGGCAAGATGTCGCCGGCAACAACAGCCTCCGCCAGCTCCTCGTTGTAGTTAGCCAGCCGTCCGAGCGCAAGCGCTGCAGACTGCTGGATAGACGGCACGTTGTCCAGCAGCAGCGGCCGGAGCAGCGACATGACCCCAGCATTCTGGAGCGCCTCGATGTTCTGCGGCCGCGTCGCCAGCTCGGCCACCGTCTGCACAAACGAGACCCGAGCCTTCTGGTACGACTCGAACACCTGCAGCACCGCCCTCGTAGAGCCCATTTGCGGCTGTAAAAATCCCATGTCCGTCATCAGCCACCAGATCGTGCCATTGTCGCCACCAACAACACAACACCCACGCCATACAGTCCGTCCGTCCATTATTTTTGTGTTGCCAAATAGCCATCGCCCATCAACCATCCGTTGCCATCACCGGTCCGAGTCATGTCAACCATCACATGCCACACCACGAACCATTGAACACACACCACAGCAGCAGGGTAGGGGCAGGGAGGCACAGCGCACAGAGAGAGCCAGAGCAGACGGAGACACACACACACGCACACACGCACGCACGCACGCACACGCACACGCCATATACACCCCATAGTGAGTAAGCTCTTGCTTTCCTCTCTCCCTCTCTCTCCCTCTCTCTTTGCCCCCCCCCCCCCCCCTCCCATGTCGCCGACCTGGCCGATTTGGCCGACTTGGCCGATTTGGTGGTGGAAAGCGGGGTGGGGGGGGAGGGGGAGGGGGGGGGGGGGAGGAGGGGGGGTCAGACAGCAGAGGGAAGATAGACAGCGCATTCCAGCGAGACCAGTGTGACAAGTCGTGGTGCTTGTTTCGCTTAATACAGTTGTTCTAGCTGGTCCAGCTCTCAACCCTTCTCCGTACCTAGTGGGAAAGTCGGGTGTGAGCGGCTTGACCGGTCGGCAGTTCAGCCGTTGGCGAATGAACGACGAGTTGGCGGGGCGGGTGAGGGGTGGGGGGTGGGGGGTGGGGGGTGGGGTGGGGAAAATATTTTCAGTGTACTGGGTTGGGTCGTGGTAGGGAGGGATGTCGTGGTGAGCGATGGGGCTGTGTTCGTTGATGTTGATGATGGGAGGGTAGATGAGGTGGGAAAGTGGGGGGAGGGGGGGTGGGGAGGGGGAGGGGGGGGGGGGGAGAGGAGGAGGAGGAGGAGGAGGAGGAACGGGTGTAGGGTGCAGCTAGAGGCAGTGGGGGAACAGGCGATGCAAGGATGGCTTGTTGAAGGATTTTATCTGCCGCAGCAAGTCTGCGAGCCTTCAATCGAGTAAAGGGGCAAGTGGAGCAACACTCGACGACGATGGGCAAGTCGCGGAGGAAGCACGACGACGACGAGTCGCACGGGAAGCAGAAGCGCCAGAAGACACTCCAGCAAGAGGTGGATGCCTCTGAAGATGTTGGGTATGTATAGCCTGCCATGTCACTCTCACTGCCCTTCCCCTTTCCTCCTCTGCATGCTGCAGTGGTGCCTCTGCCCTTAACAGCGGCGGATGAGGATGAGGATGGATTGCCGGCGCTTAGCACAAGGGGGGGCGGAGAGGGGGTGAAGGGGCGGGCATTGACTCACGCATGAGAGGTTGGAATGGACTACTTGACTGGACGGGGTGGCGGGCGGGGTTGTGTGAGCAGCTTCACGGACGACAATGCTGAGTGGCTGCAGCCTGTGAAGAAGGGCAAGTCCAAGAGCAAGGACAAGGCCAAGGATAAGGCCAAGAAGAGCAAGGAGAAGAAGTCCAAGAGCAAGGACAAGTCCAAGAGCAAGAACAAGGCCAAGGAGCTGATCAAGAAGGCCGAGGCTAGGGAGGATCTGCTGGCGTCAGATGATGATGATGATCATGGCTTTGGCATGGCAGGGGATCTGCTCGGGGACGATGACGACGAGTTTGGCAGCGCGGGCATGGACGAGTTTGGCGGACTGGCGACGATGACGACGAGCTGCTCCCGATTGAGAAGGCTGCACGGCGGCTGGATGCCGAGGCGGCGGTTGTGGCGGCCGAGGCCGAGGCCGAGATGGTTGCCGGTGACGGCGAGGACCACTCGTACCTGTTCACCGGCCACCGGGCCGAGGGCGGGAGCGAGTCGTCGGACGAGGAGGAGAACGAGGCCAAGGCACAGCTCAAGGCCGCGGGCCAGACGCTGATGGATGAGATGATTCACGCGCCGGACCTTGCGATGGTGCACACTCGGATTTCGGGCGTTGTGCGGATTCTGATGCAGTTCCGCGAGCTGAGCGATCCGCGTTACTCGCGGAAGAAGTACATGTCGCAGCTGGTGGCTGACCTTGCGCTGTACTACGGGTACACCGACTGGCTTGTGGGCCAGCTGCTGGACGTGGTGGGCGTGGCGCAGATCATGGAGCTGCTGGAGGCGTGCAACGTGCCGCGGCCTGTGACGATCCGGACGAACACGCTCAAGACCAAGCGCCGTGTGCTCGCACAGGCGCTCATTGCGCGCGGAGTCAACCTCGATCCTCTGCCGTGGTCCAAGGAGGCGCTGCAGGTGTACGACTCTGCGGTGCCGATTGGCGCGACGCCCGAGTACCTCGCGGGCCACTACCTCATCCAAAGCGCGGCATCGCTCATGCCCGTGGTCGCGCTCGACCCGCAGGCCGGCGAGTTTGTGCTGGACATGGCGTCTGCGCCGGGTGGCAAGACGACCCACATTGCGACGCGGATGGGCAACAAGGCGTGGTCTTTGCCAACGACACCTCGGCCAACCGAATCAAGGCCATTGTGGGCAACTGCGCCCGGCTGGGTGTGCGCAACACGGTGGTGTGCCACTACGACGGCCGGACGCTCTCGTCGGTCGCCTCCAACTTTGACCGCGTCCTCCTCGACGCGCCGTGCTCGGGCACAGGCGTTATCGACAAGGACCCGTCGGTCAAGACCTCGCGGACGGCCGACTCGATCCGCAGCAACGCGCGGTTGCAGCGCGACATGCTGCTGGCCGCCATCGACGCGACGAACGCCCACTCGAAGACCGGTGGCTACATCGTGTACTCGACCTGCTCCATGCTGGTGCAGGAGAACGAGGAAGTTATCGACAAGGTCCTCGCTCTCCGTGACGTGAAGATCGTCGACGCCGGCCTTCCGTTTGGCACCCCGGGTTTTACCCGCTTCAAGACCCGACGCTTCCACCCGCACATGGATCGCGCCCGCCGCTTCTTCCCGCACACCCACAACATGTCGGGCTTCTTCGTCTGCAAGCTCCGCAAGATCTCCAACCAGGGTGCCGGCGAGAACCTGCCGTACCAGTCGCGCCTCAACCAGAAGAAGAAGTCGCGCCAGGCCAAGCTCGCTGCCAAGCGCGCCGAGCGCGTCGAGGCCAAGAACCCCGAGGGCGTGGCCGAGGTCGAAACCCTCGATGCCGACCTCCTCCTCTTCGACGTCTCGTCCTCCGACGATGATGACGACGACAACGACGACGGCAATGATGGCCTTGCCACCGTCCTCCTCAACTCGTCCAAGAAGACCAAGGGCGTCCGCTCCAACACCGACATCACCCTCTCCAAGAAGGAGCGCCGCAAGGCCGAGCGTGTCCATCAGAAGGGCAAGGGCGGTTTCCGGCCTGTCAAGCAGTAGAAACACATCCGATAGTGCAGAAGACCACGACTACCCTCCCCCCCCTCCCCCTCCCCCTCCCCCCCCCAGTTATGCTCGTCTTACAAACCAGGGGATCTCCTCAGTCATCAGACCGGCCTCAACGAGCCAGGCCAGCCCAGGCCAGCTCCCTGCCATGATCCCCATCACCCAACCCGTTCCCCACCACCACCCCACCAACACCAACACCCCACCACCACCACCACACCACCACCACCACCACCACCACCACCACACTCCACACTCCACTTTAGCATTGCTCAGGGAGATGTCTCAACCACCGCTCCCTACAGAGCCCCCTCCACCCATGGGGGGATACAGTGCTGGGTATGGACAGGGACAAGGCGGACAAGGCGGACAAGGCGGGCAAGGCGGCGGACAAGGCGGACAGCACGGACAAGGCGGACAAGGCGGGCAAGGCTATGGATACGCCACTCACGGAGGGGCGTACACGGGACAAATGTACGCCCCGCCACAGTCTGGTCACCCTCATACTCCAGGCTACCCGCCTGCTCAGGGATACCCGCCAGCTCAGGGATACCCGCCAGCTCAGGGATACCCGCCAGCTCAAGGATACCCGCCAGCTCAAGGATACCCGCCAGCTCAAGGATACCTGCCAGCTCAGGGATATCCTCATTCCTTCCCGCAGCAACACGGTCAAGGCTACCAGCCTCCTGCGGGTCCATCGACAGGATCGGGACCGCCTTCGGGCCCGGCCGGATCTGCGCCGTACGCTGGCTCCCACCTGCCGCACGGCTACGCTCCGCCGCAGCAAGGCTATGGCGTGAGGACGGCGCCAGTGCATCCGCCGCCATCGCGTGAGGCCAAAACCGTCTGGCTCAATGGCATCTCCAACAACCTGCCCGACCATGTCATCCGAACTGCTTGCGAGGCCTTTGGCCCTGTTACCTCGATCAACATGCCCGTCGGCAAGCCGTTTGCTTTTGTTGATTTTGCCACCCACGATGCCGCCGCCGCCGCCGTCGCCGCGGCCTCCATTGTTGTCGGCAAGACGACTGCCCGCGTCGAGTGGTCCTCGACGCCGACGCCTGGCAGCGCTTCCGGCCCGCCGTCGCGCTCGCGCCCGTTTGTCTCGCGCAACCCTCCGTCGGCCACGCTGTTTGTCGGCAACGTGGGGGTTGACGTCTCCCGCGACGACCTCCATGCCGCCATGGCCCAGTACGGCACCGTCGAGTCGGTCGAGACTCTGGCCGACCGTGGCTGTGCCTTTGTTCAGTTTGCCGCAGAGGCCGACGCCATCCGCGCGTTCGATACCCTCCGCGGCTACCTCCAGCTCGGCCCCCGTCGCCTCACTATCGAGTACGGCAAGACGAGCCGGCGCTCTGCTCCCCGCGGCCACCCGTCGTCGTCATACGACCGCGCTCGCACAGGCTCTAACACCCTGCCAGTTGGCGGCGGGAGCGGAGGCGGAGGTCCTGGTCTCGGCCACGGCGCCCCGCCCCGTGGCCCGCCCCGCGGCCCGCCCCGTGGCCCGCGTGTCGAGGGCCCCACCGGTTTTTATGGTCGGCCGTCCGACGGTCCCTCCATCCCGCGACAGGAGCACGTCATCTCGCTGCCGTCCGAGGTCGCCTCAATGGTTGACGAGAGCACGCTCTCGCTCGGTGCCGTCCCTATCGAGCGCCCTCCCGAGGTCGCGCTCCCGCCCGAGAACAAGGAGGTCGTCGCCTTTATCGAGGCACTCGCCGAGGCTGTCATCGATACGCCGGATCTTGAGCTCCTGCTGCTGGCCAAGCACGACGAGCCGCGTTTTGCCTTTCTCAAGCAGGCATACGTCGAGTCCGAGTCGGCAGACGAGGCCACCCGCGAGCTCGCTCGCTACTACCGCTTCCGCCTCTGGCAGGTTCGCGCCGCAAAGACCAAGAAGGCCCAGATCGAGATTCGCAACAAGGTCATGCCCAAGCTGCTCCAGGGCTCTGCCCCGATGCCGCCTTCGGCTCCGGCCCAGCAGCAGCTGCAGCACCCGCCGCCGCCGCGCCCGCCTCAGCAGCAACTCCAGCACCAGCTCCAGCAACACATGCCCGTCCCCGCTCCGGCTGCCGCCCCGCCGCTCCCGCCCACCGCCCCGCCGCCGCTCCCGCCCACCGCCCCGCCGCCGTTGCCACCCACCCCTGCCCCGCCGCTTCCACCCACCGCTGCCCCGCCGCTCCCGCCTACTGCTCCGCCTCCGTCCGAGGTCGCGGCCGCCTTTGACGCCGAGCTCGCCCAGCTGACCGAGGCCAAGGCGTCGATCGCCAAGGTTCGCGATTTTATGCTCACTCACGCCGAGTCGGCCATCGAGCCCATGCTCAACGCACTGCAGGCCCGCGCCGACGCCGCGCCCACCCTCACTGCAGCGCTTCCGATTGCCTATGTCGTCAACGAGGTCCTCTCCGCCGCCGCCCGTGCGCAGCGCATCCCGTCGCGGCTCGCCCACGTCTCGCGTGCCATTCTCCTCAGGCTCCCGGCGCTCTTTGGTCGCATCCACGCCCTCGCTGCTGCCGCCAACTCCGGTCACGTCCTCCAGATCGTCCGCGCCTGGAGCTCAAAGGCGATTGTGCCCGGTGCCGCCGTCGACGCCCTGGAACCGCTCGTCGCTGGTGTGGTTCCGCACGACCAGGCCTCGTGGCACCGCTTTGTCGTCTCGCTCCCGTAGCCCCGCTCCAGCAAACTCCTACGCGCCGGAAAAGAACGGGTGGTCGAGAACGGCAGCCATGCCGTCGGCGCCAAGCCTCGCGGCTGGATCGCGAGTACAGAGCGCGGCAATGAGCTCGCGTGCGGCAGGTGGGAAGCTCTGCTGCGGGCCAAGCGGCAGGTCGCAGTTCGCCACCCGGTCCAAAATCTGCTCCTCCAGCTGGCCGTACCACGGATACCCGCCGTTGTACAGGTCATAGATCATGATGCCCAGCGCCCACGCATCGGCCGCCGTTCCAAGCTCGCCGCCAGTCACAACCTCGGGCGCCACGTACGCCAGCGCGTCGCGATCGACAACAATGCGGCCGAGAGCAAACTCCGGATCCGGGCGGAGGAGTGATGACGGCAGGAGCTTGGGCACTAGCCCCTTGCCAAAGTACACGTTCTTTGGGCAGACCTTGCCGTGGACCTCGCCGGAGGCATGGACGGCCTCGATGGCGCGCGCCACCGCCGCCACGATGCCCGGCACAGACTCGGGATTGATCTTGCCCTCTTCGGCGTCCTCCTGCCATCGCTGCAGCGACTCCGAGTCGGTCCACTCCATCAGCACACGCAGGCCGCCATCTACCGCCTCGGCCACGCCCTTGACCGCCAACAAGTTCGGATGCGGCGGGAAAGCTAAGAGATCGGACACCAGACTCTCGACCAGCTCGTTCAGCTCGACCGGAACAGCTGGCCCAGCCACCATCTCCTCCCCATCGGCAAGGCGTACGCTCTCAAACCCCTCCCGTCCGTCGTACTCGCCCCATCCATCGTACACCACCTCGAGCGCATCTTCACTAATGCGGAGCATGCCAGCGAGTGCAATGTGCCTCCGCTTCGGCGTTGTGTCTTGTAAGTCAGCTAGAGCAGCCAGGCCACAACCGCCTTTCTTTCTCCATCCCATCAAAGCCCCGCACCTCGCCACATGCCAGTCCAGCTGATTGCCTTGCTTCCGATCCAGTTGATCGGGCACATACAGGCGATCAAGCAGATTAGGAGTAGGAACATCATGGCGAGACAGAGCCTAGACCTTCTCATCACCTCGCATGTCCCCTCGTTTGTCTCCCTGGCCTTTCCGGGCCGTGTAGGATGATGCCCCCCCCCCCCCCCTCGCAATGGTGCGCTTTGTTCCAAAACAAACCATTTTTCTCATACAGACTTTGACGACCTTTTTCTCATGTCACGTGGCCAGAGCCAGAGGAGCGAAATCGAGACACCTCACCCACGGGCCATAGGATGAACATGGCAAAAGTGGAGAGGTATGGTCTGTACGCACTTGTGCTGCTTGTGCTTGTGACTGAGACTACCTTTGCAGCCCGTTCTCATGCTGGTCAGGCCATCCATGCCCTCCATGCTGCTGGTCTTGGCTCTGCTTCGCTCCGTGGCAACACCCACACCGCCGCCTTTACCACCTTTTCTCCGCCGCTCCTCCTCCCGCAAGCTGACGACCGCGAGGACGGCAGCAATGTTCGGTCATCGATGGACATCCGCTCGCCAAGCCATCACCATGATCACGTGGTGAATGCTCTCTCTCGCCACAATGTTCTCGGTCTGGCTGATCCCAAGCTCGAGCTGGTTCATCGCAGCGATGCCGCGGACCTCCATGCCCCACACGCCCGCCATCACGCATCGTTTGCGCAGACGTACCATGGCGTCGAGGTCTTCCATGCCACCGTTCGGGCTGGGCTCAAGATTGACGAGCCGAGTGGGCTGCCGGCTCTGGCGACTCTGACCGGCACCACCGTGCCGACCGCCCTCCTCGACGCTGCCCGCCATCGGTCGTCGGACCCGCTCGTCCTCACTCCGCGCCTCTCGGTCCGGGCCGCCGCCCGTGCCGCTCTAAACGGCCTGGACAACGCGCCGAGCTGTGTCACCGTCCGCAAGCTCCCAAGCGCGCCGGTCATCTACGTCCGCGGGCTGTACAACGCGCATGGCCCGCAGCTCGACGCGTCCGCCCCGGTCCTCGCCTACGTCTTTGACGTGGTCGCCGAATGCACCGGCCAGCGGTGGCAAGTTGCCGTCTCGGCCAGAGACGGCAGTGTGATCGAGGCTCACGAGTCGACCACCTTTGCGCTCAACCGGTCGCTGGCCAACGTGACGGCGGACAACGTGATCTGGCGCGAGGGTGACCCGAACACGCTCACCGGTGACCTCAACCACACCATGTACGGGGCACGCAAGACGTACGACGTCTTCATGTCGGCCTTTGAGATCGACTCTTGGAACAAGAAGGGCGGGCCGATGAACACCGTGTTTGACGACCCCAAGATCTCGTGCCCGAACGCCAACTGGAACGGCGAGACAACCAACTACTGTCGCGGCGTGGCGTCGATCGACACGGTTGCTCACGAGTGGGGCCACGCGTATACCGAGGGAGGGACTGACGACGTCCACGGCCTCATCTACATGTGGCAGACCGGCGCGCTGAACGAGGCCTACTCGGACATTGTCGGTCAGACCGTCGACCACCTGTTCAACCTTGACCTGCCGCAACCGTTTGGCCCGCGCGAGCTCGGCCGCTGCTCCACCTTCCAGACCTCACGCATTGCCCGCGGGCCCAAGATCAACGTCGTTTCGGCGACAGGCGACCCACTGCTGGAGTCGGCCGGCTTTGGCTTTTACGCCGCCGACAACGGCTCGCCCTGGACGTCGGCCGTGCTTGCCAACGCCTCGCTCACACTTGCTGCCGACGACTCGGGCGACCCGAACGACGGCTGCTCGGCGCTGACGACGAACGTCGTCGACAGCATCGTACTTGTCAACCGTGGCTCGTGCTCGTTTGAGGACAAGGCTGCCAACGCCATCGCTGGCGGCGCGCGCGCACTGCTCATCGCTAACATCCCCGGCTCGGACCTCGTTGTGCCGGCTGTCACCTCCAACTTTCCGGTGGCCATGATTGCGACTTCGACAGGCGACTTTCTTCGTGGCCTCGTCGGCCTCTCGTCGGCCGGCGAAACGGCGCCGACGCTCGAGCTCGAGCTCGCGCCGGCGCCGCCGACGACTGGTTCGTACCGCTGGCTGGCCGGTGCGCAAGATCCCGCCTTTGGTGGCGCCATCCGCGACCTGTGGGACCCGACGTGCTTTGGCCACCCGGGCAAGGTCACCGACGACGAGTACCACTGCGATCCGTCGGACAACGGCGGTGTCCACCGCAACTCGGGTGTGGTCAACCACATGTTTGCCATGCTCGTCGACTCGACATTTGGCCAGGCCTACAACGGGCACGTCATCCCAGCTCTCGGCCTCACTGTTCCGTTCCACGTCTACTGGCGCGCCGCCTTTGCCTACCACACCCAGACGACCGACTTTAAGGCCCACGACGCCGCCCTCCGGCAGGCCTGCGCAGACCTCGTCGCCGACGGCACCCCGCTCCGCTCGCTCGTCGACGGCTCGCCCACGGCGCCGGTCACCGCTGCAGACTGCGATGCGATCAACGATGCTGCTGCCGCCGTCGAGCTCACCGCCACCCCGCCTTGCAACTTTCAGCCGTACCTCGCGGCGGGCTCGCTTACCGTCTGCCCTGCCGCCACCCCGTTCTACACCGAGACGTTTGCCACCGCGCCGGCCGGATGGACAGCTTCGGCCGAAGGCGTCTCGCCGACGTGGTCGCCGGTCAACTGGCAGTTCCGCACCGCGCTGCCGGACGGCCGGACCGGTGGCTATTACGCCCCGGACCCGCTCGTCGGCAACTGCGTGACGACCGACCAGTCCGGAACCATGACCCTCGTCGCGCCGCCGATCGAGATCCCGGCCTCGGTCGGGTCAAAGGCCATGGTCCAGCTCGAGTTTACCCACTACGTGGCAACCGAGGCCTCGTTTGACGGCGGTGTGGTCATGGCCTCCATCAACGGTGCCCCGGCCGTTGCCCTGCCGGCCGACGCCTGGATGTTCAACGGCCCGCCGACCGAGCTCATCCGCTCGCCAGTCTCGACGAACCCGCTCGGCGGCCTGCACGCCTTCTCGGGCGTCAACGGCGGCTCGCTCTCAGGGTCGTGGGCCACCTCGACCGCAATGCTCTCGGTGTCGAGCGGCGACGAGGTCGTTCTCTCGTGGGTCATGTCGACCGACTGCGGCGGCGGCGTCGACGGCTGGTACATCGACTCGGTCTCGCTCGTTGCATGCGCCGCCGAGTGTGGCGATAACGTCTGCACCCGGGAGGCCGGCGAGTCATGCTTCACTTGCCCGGCAGACTGCGAATGTGAGTGTGGCTTTGCGTATGAGCCAGTCCTCCCGGGCATGCTCCCGCACTCGCCGCTGGCTGCCGCGTCGGCCATGCCCGGAAACCCGGCGCTGGCCTGCTCGCAGGCCGGCGTCGCCGGCCAGTGCCCTGAAGACTGCTGCGGCGACGGCGTGTGCTCGCCAGGCGAGTCGTGCGAGGTTGACTGTTGCGCCTACCTGCCCGACTGCTCGTTTGAGCAGGCCGGCTGGTACCTCGAGTCGACCGGGCCTATCAGCGACGTTGTCGTCCGCCTCGGCTCGAGCGTCTGCGCCGCCGGCGCTTCGTGTCTCGCCTTCCAGGGTAAGCTCGACCCGTCGGGTTTGTACATTCTGGAGGCCTCGACCGCCGCGTCTGCGCTGTTCACTGTCCCCACCGCCCCGCGCACCCTCCGCCTCCAGCTGCAGGCCTACGCGCTCTGTGGCGGAACGCCGCCGTCGATCCAGGTCTGGCTCAACCACGAGGTACTGGTCTTTGACTCGGCGACCTCTCCCATGCCGTGCCACGCCACCGTCGATGCCGCCAACTTTGCGTCCTACAACGTCACCCTCTCCGGCAACGACCTCACAGCCGCCCTTGTCGCCGGCTCGCGCAACACCATCACCATCAACGGCACCGTCGTTGAGGACATTGTCATCGTCGACGCCATCAAGGTCGACTTTGACACTGCACCCGACACTCCGGGCGCCACCCCGGTCCGTCAAAGTCCAAGACCGAGACCGGCCTGATCGCCACCGTCGTCGTCCTCTCCATCGTCGTCGTCGTCTTTGTCGGCCTCATCGCCGGCTACTTTTGGCGCATGCGCCAGATGCAGCGTGGTGGCTCTATGGGTGGTGGCTTTGAGATGCTGGGCTAGGTAAATGAGTTTATGCCAAGTGTGGCCTGTTGGGGGAGCGCATGATCGCAGAAAAAGCCGCTCATTTCTCGCAAAACACGCACAGCGGAGCGGCACCATCGCGACACACCGCTAGTAGTCAGCAACACAACCACGCACAATTGCCACTGCCTTTACCACAATGCTACAAGCTCTGCACAAAGTCGGGAAACGCGTTGTGGAAAAGTAGAGGCCGTGGACCGAGGCGTCGCGACAGACGATGCCGCGCTCCTCGGCACGGAGCAGCTGCTGGCGAGCAAGCATGAGCGAGAGCGAGGCAGCGGCAGCGAGCTCCGAGGCCGAGACGCCGTGGTCGGAGGCGGTGGCGAGGTCGAGGATGGTGGCAGTCATGGCCTCCTCAGAGTAGGCGTCCGACTGGACGACCTTGGCGCCGGACGCAAACTCGTGGAGCGACATGCCGACAGGCGGCGAGAGCGAGCCAAAGGCGGCGACAGCCGCGAGGATGTCGTCGGGCGAGACAAGGTCGGTCCCACGAGCGCGGTTGTAGAGGCAGTACACATCGGTGAGCGGGAGAACGCCGTGAGTCGAGCGGTCGGCCAGGATCGGTGTGAGGAACGCCGCCAACTCGCGGGCGAGCTGGGTGTGGAAGGCCGAGGTCGAGCCTGCTGCCGCGCGCGAGACCGACGGCGCCGAGACCGAGCCCATGCCCAGTGACATGAGGTGGTCTTGCAGATCAACCTCGTCCTTGGCCTCGGCCGCGTCGGCCTCGCGCCGCCGCGACCGCGCCGCCCGCTCCTGAGCGGCCTTGACCCGTGCCGCGAGCTTGACAATGTCGCGGGTCTTGGCCATGAGCGTGTCCAGATCCGCAAACGCCGCGCTGAGTGTCGCCTCATCCTCGCGCGCCTGCCGGTCGACCCGCCGCATGATGCCCGAGATGCCCGCTGATCGTGTGGAGAAGCCTTCGGACGGACCGGCGGCGGCCGGTCTGCGATTATTGTTGGCCTTTGACGGCCGATCGACCCAGAGCTTCATCTTGACCGTGTCTGCCAGCTTGGCGAGCATGTCCTTGTAGCCCTTGTCATGGAACGAGAGCCGCAGATCGTACTCGCTGCCGGCTGAGGCCTTGGCCGTCACGAGGATCTTTGAGTAGCGGGCGAGGAAGGACGACGATCCCCTAAACGACGCCAAATTTTCCAGCGGAAACCGGAGTGCCCGATTCCGCCTGCCGCTGTCGTCCTTACCGAACATGTACAACTCGTACGTGGTGAGGACGCACCGCGCGTCGCGAACGAGACAGACCTCGTCAGCACCGCGGACGACCACGTCGTCGACCGTCGCCACCACAATCTCCCCTCCTCCGGCACCACGTCCTCATACGGGTACTCGCTGACACCAGGCGTCCCACTTGCTGCCATGAGTACGTGTATACGTGAGTGCGAGTGGCCGGTTTCGGAAGTGCGGTGTCTGTTGTGTGGCTTGCTCGCGGTCGTCGCTGTCGGCTGTCTTGACCACCGGCCATGCTTTCGATGTAGTCAACCTACGAAATACTCGGCAGTAGTCACGGCGTAGTTTGGCACGGTGAAACATTTTCTCACAAATATGTCATTGTTCACATCGTTCACCCCTTCGTCCCGCACAGGAAACAATCTTCGCTCGTGCCCCGCTGGTGATCATAACCTATCACCCCACCCCTCCCCGCGCTCTTCTTCCTCCTCCCGCCCCCCCCTTCGTCCCGCACAGGAAACAATCTTCGCTCCCCCTCCCCCCCCCCCCCCATATAACCAACCTCACCATGCGCTACCCCACCCTCCTCCCGCTCCTGGTGGTGCTCGTCGTGGTCGCGGTGCCAACAACCCACGCGGCGCTGTCGCTCATTAACCGCCCTGCTTACGGGAACATTTTCAGGTCGGCCGGCGCAGTGTTTGACCTCCCGCCGGGAAGCTTTACCATGGAGTTTTGGGCCAAAATGTACACGCCTCCGAGAGATGTGTACCTGGTAAGCGTGTGCAAGCCTGGTTGCTGCAACAACAATATAGTGTTTGGCGCGTTTGACACTGATGGTATTTGCTACCTCATCATGGGCACAAGCCCGTACTTTGAGGTCGAAGTCGCGAATTGTGGAGGCGACTCGCTCTGGCATCACTATGCGTTTGTGGTCGACGCGACTACAGACTTGGCAGAGTTCTGGCTTGATGGAGTTCGCGTAGCTGGTCCGGATCCTGTCACCGGCATCCAGCGCACTGGCAATGTGCTGGTGCTGGGCAACGATCAGGACGGAGCCTCCTGTACAGTCGATGACGCCAGCCAAGCCGTCTCGGCGCTTATGGACGAGTTCCGCGTCTGGTCGGCAGCACTCTCCGGAGACGACATTGCGGCGGTCATGGCCGGTCCGGTCTCGCCCAACTCGCCCAACTTGAGCACTTATTTTGTCTTCAACGAGACTTACATCTCACCGACCACGCTGACCCAGGCGCTTCCGGGCGGCATCTCGCTCTCAGCTGGCTCAGAGCCGCCAACGTATACCGCAGCAAGCCCGCACACGTCGATTGTTTTTGAGCGCGCGCCGCCGCAGCACCCGATCTTGCCCTCGCCGCCAGTGGTCGACATTGTCTCGTCGGCCATCCACAGCTGTTACGCGGCTGATCTCGACGCTGACGGCGTGCTTGACATGGTGTTTTCCCAGGACACGGCGGTGGTCACCGCCGAGCCGACCGTCTTTGTTGCTCGTGGCACCGGAGGCTTGACGTTTGACACGCCGTCGACAGTTGTGACCTCTACCAGCATTGCCGCCGTCGCTGCCTCCGACATTTCTACCGACGGCAAGCCCGATCTCGTGGTCATGCATGCCGGCTCCTCATACCCGCTTGTCTACCTCTCGACCTCGTCGGGCCCTGGCGATGTCTCATTTGCACTCGCGCCGTACGAGGCAGGCACCGGGCGCGCGCTCTCGCAGCCAGTTGACAACTTTGCCCTTGTCCCAGACCAGAACGGCGATGGCGTGACTGATGCCGTGTACATTTCAGCCATCAGGCGCGAGCTCGGGTGGGTCACCTACGGCTCGGGCTCGCCGGTCTCGGCTCCGATCATCTCGATTCCGTCCGGCTCGCTCAAGTTTGGCTTCCGCTCAGACGACGTCTACACCGACCCACTCTTTGTCGACACTAACGGCGATGCCCTACTCGATCTCATCTACATGGTTGTCCCGGCAGGAACCATTGGCGTCGTCAGGGCTCTGCCACGGACTGCACCGGCCGCGAGTGTCACCTTTGGAGTGCCGTTCGATCTAGTCGACGGCGTCACCCACTTCACGCTCGCCGACGTCGACGGCGACGCACAGCTCGAGCTCCTTACAACCATCTCCCGCACCTGGGCGGTCTGGCGATTCAACGGCGACTCGACCGTCACCCAAATTGCAAGCATCAACATCGGGACCGGCCAGCCTCCGTTTGGCATCATGTTCGCCGACCTTGACAACAACGGCCTCCTTGATATGGTGTCAAACTTTGACGTCGAAAGCACCGAGCTGCTGGTGGCGCTCCAGCTGGCGCCCTTGAACTTTGCCTTGGGTGAGGCCTTTGGCACTTCTGGCTCTAGCAAGTCCCGTTGCGTGGTATTTGGCCAATGGGAGAGCGACGGCTGGCCGCAGCTCATCATGGCTCCGGTAGCCACCTCTAGCATATCTCTTAGCGGAGAGATCCGTGCCATGCACACCGGGCCGGTCCCGCGATACCTTGATCCTGCAATCCAGCTGGCGCCCGTGGGCTTTTCCTGGTGCGGGTCAGGGCAAGTACCGGAGCTGCTCATCGTCGATGCTAACCATGACCTCGTGCTGGACCTCGTTCTCTCCTGCAACGTCGACGCGACTACGTTTGCCATTTACGGCGACGGCGACGGCGGCTTCATGCCAGCCGCTCAACGGACCAACCCACCGTCACTGGCGCAGCTTGTGGCCACCATCGCGGTCGACGGCGACGGCGACGGCATGGTCGATATTGTTACACTCTCAAGCGACAGCCTCGTCGCGCTCTCACCGTTTGTGGACCTTTCTACCGCACCGGCACCGGCGATTCCGACGCCCACCATCTTCACCGTGGCCACCGCTGGCACGCCGCAGTGGATGGCAGCCGCCGATCCCAACGCGGATGGCAACGTCGACTTGCTTGTCGGCGGCACGCTTGGCATTGCAGTTGTCGTCAACAACGGGCCGAGTGCCAGCCCGTTTAGCGCCCCGGCAGTCCTGCTTGCGTCTGGCGCTCCCAGCCTGCGCCTGCATACCGTGCACGATTTTAGCGGCTCTGGGGCAGCCAGCGACCTGGCCTGGGTCTCAGCGACGGCCAACACTGTTTACGTCTCGCTTGCCAACCCGGGCGCGCCGTCGTACGACCAGCTCTACGCCGCGGCGACTGCGCACCTGCTTGCCGCCGACCCTGTTGTACTCATCGGCGGCATGTACGACGGGGGCGACGTGGCCGACGTGCTCGTCGGCCTTGACAACGGCGACGTTGTCGTTCTCGCCGACGGCGGAAGCGGCGGCCCGACTACCGTGCTCTCAGGCCTGGGGAGCATCTTGGCGGTGCACCTTGATCCGCTTGTGGGCCACGACGGCATGCTACTTGTGACGACCGCAACCGGCTTTGTGTTTTTCTCTGACTACGGCCAGTACTCGTTTGTTCCACCGGGCATGCCGGTCGGAGCCAAGGTAGTTGCCGCGGATCTTTTCGGCAACGAGGCCACCGACCTTGTTGTAGCCTCGAGCACAGACATTGCGGTGGCGGGCGGCAAGATGGTTCTTGGCGCTGCGCCGCGCCGCGAGCCGGCAAACCTGGCTGAGTGTGGCGGTGTGGCCAACTCGTGGCTCTGCATCTCGGCACGTGCTGCGCACTCGGCTGATGGTGCCACGGTCACAGTGGGCGAGGTTGTGCCGGATAGCAGCTCGCTCTGCGCGCGTGCCCCAGCCGCACACGACTACCACCGGATATCGCGGAACATCACGCTTGCAGGTGGCCGCATTGACTGCGGGCCGCTTGGCGGCGTGCTGCTGCAGGTCGCAGCAGGCGCTCAGCTGACGATCGACGGCATGCAGCTGATTTCTCAAGCATCAGCTGCGACACCGGTGGCCTCACTCCTCGCCGGCGCTGCGTTTGATGTCTCCTCCGGGGGAAGCCTTGTGGTGACCTCATCGACAATGAGCGGATTTGTGGCCGATGAGGGAGCCAGCGCGCGGGCGACAGTGACGCTGTACGGCGGTGCCATTCGATGCGCCGGCTCGCTGACGGTCACAAACGCGACATTTGCGGCCTGCCAGGCAGGGCAGTTTGGCGGCGCGATTGCCATGCTGGGCGGTGCAGCGGCGACGCTGACCGACGTTACCTTTGTGGACAATACGGTGACCGGCGAAGCCAGGACCCGGACTTCTGGCGGCGGTGCAGTCGGCGGATTCGAGGTGGCGTCGCTGACCTGCACGCGGTGCGTCTTTGAGCGCAACGCAGCGGCTGGGTTGGGCAGCGGCGGCGGCGCAGTGGCGCTCCGCTCGCTCACTCTCAGCAGCGTGGTGCTTGTTGATTGCACCTTTGTTGACAACTCGGCGCCAGGCGGGTACGGCGGGGCAGTGTTTGTCGACGTCTCGAGTACGTCTGCGAGCGTGGCCATTGCCAACACGTCGTTTTCGGGCTCGTCGGCCGTGTTTGGTGGCACAGTGGCAGCGGCGACGCTCGGCAGCCTCAGCACGTCGTTTGCCGGCTTCCAGGCGCCTAATCTGCCACCACCGGCGTCGCTGGCGGCGCTAACGGCATTGTCAGCAACACTGCGGATAGAGAGCTCAACTGTTTCCACATCGTTTGCGCGATACGGGAGCGTGGCGCTCTCGTGCGGCATGGTGGTTGACATGAGCGGGACGGATCTCAGCTCAGCGAGTCTGAGCTACTCGCAGGCAGGCGGGGTTTGGTACCAGTGCCTGCCGCTGACGTCGACGACGGCGGTGGTAACCACGTCGCTACCGACATCCTCTCCGAGTGCAAGCTCTGCACTGGCGTACGGCCCGATATTTGCATCGCCGGCAGCCACATTGACATGGTCGCGGGCCGGTTCAGCCCTCAGCGTGCCGTCGGGGGTCAACTTTGGCATCGATGGCGGCCAATTGCTTGTCACCGACGGCTTTGGCACGCCTGTATCGGACACAATCCTTGACTTGCTGCTCTCTGTTTCCGCGCCGGAAGCACTTGTTACCGACGCGGCCATCCGATGGGACGTGGCCGCCGGCGGATTCTCGCTCAAGGACGTGGCAATCCAAATTGCCGGTTCGCACTGGCCGGCCGAGGTGGGCAAAGAGTTTTCGCTGAAAGTCAGCCTGCGGTCCGGCACGTACCTTGAGCTTCCAGTCACTGTGGGTGCGTGTCCGGTCGGATTCGGCGCGGTGACCAGTAATCCGCTCCTTCCGCTGAGCTGCTCGCGGTGCGTCGCCGGGACCGAGTCGACCGAAGAGTCGGTGGCAGCGTGTACCGTTGTCCCGACCTGCGCCGGGACCGGCTATCCAGTCAACGGCGAGTGCGTGGTGTGTCCGGCGAATGCGGTGCGTCTGGCGAGCCAGAACACCACGAGCTCGGGCAGTGCGCCGCCGTGTGTGTGCGCCCGTGGGTACTGGAACGCAGGCAATGAGGCCGACCGTGAGTGCACGGCATGTCCGAGAGGTGCGATCTGCCCAGGCGGTACCGGCGTCGGAAGCGGTCCTGTGGCGCGGCCAGGATTTTTCAAGGTCGACGTCGGCAAGTACGAGGCATGCAAGGTGGATGAGGCCTGTCTGGGCGGCTCCATCTGCGCGCCCGAGTACAAGCAGGGCTCCATGCTGTGCAAGGACTGCTCAACAGGCGCCTACCGGCAACAAGACGGGTCGTGCAAGCGGTGCCCGAACGCGCCGGCGTCGCTGCTTGCCCTGCTGGGCGGCGCGGTTATCTTTGCGGCGATGGCGGCGGTAGTTGTGGGCGGGCTTGCGGCCAAGCAGTTCCAGAAACGTGTCGACTCAGACGGCGAGGTCGGCGGGGTCAAGCGCGCACCGCACACGCTCTCGCTGGCGGTCATCTTTTTGCAAGTCCTGGGCATCCTCGCCAAGGCGCCGCTCAAGTGGCCCAAGCCGCCTGTGAAGCAGATTTTGGAGGCGGCCAACGTGGCCAACGTAGACTTGTCGTTCTTTGCCATCGACTGCTCGCTGCCGTCGTTTGTGGTGCGGTACTCGATCAGCATGCTTCTCCCGCTGCTGTTCGGCGGTGTTTTTTTGGCGATACTGGTGCTGGTCAAGCACGTACCTGCGCTACGGTGCTGCTTCTTCCGCGGAGTTGACGCCTCGCGAGTCCGAGTGGTGGACATTTCGCTGTGGGCGATCTTCACCTTTGGGCCGCTGGTGTACATCCCGCTCTCGCGGGCCGCGCTGGTCTTCTTTGATTGCACACAGTATCCCGACGGCAAGTGGTATCTGGATGCGGAGCCAAGCTTGCAGTGCTTTGTGGGCAAGTGGCTGGCAACGCTCGAGCTCGCGATCATGGGCGTCGGCTTGTACGTTGTCGCGCTCCCAATTCTGTTTGCAGCTGTTCTCTACAAGTACCGGCACAGCCTGCGGAGCCCTCTGGTGACGCTCCGATACGGGTCGCTGTACGCCGTCTTCCGCCAACACTACTACTACGCTGGGATGCCTGTCATGTTCAAGCGGCTACTCATTGTCATCTTTCGGTGTTTGCCTCAAATGTGCAGATCATCCTCTTCTCGGGCCTGCTAGTCGTTTTCGTCACCTCGATGCTGTTGCTGACCAAGTACTCGCCGTACACGTACCACCCGCTCAACGTCATCGAGACCAAACTGGACTTGAGCATTGTGGCGCTGCTTGTTGCCGGCCTCTTGTTTTGGATGGACGAGTTTCCAAACGATGGCACGTACGCGGTGTTTGTCGTCCTCGTGCTGGGCGTCATCGGCTATGCGGCCGCCACCCTCGTCGTTGGCCTCATCCGCGAGCTGCGTCACCACCGGGCTAGTGCGCGGCAGGTCGGGATCAACGGCGGAAACGACGAGAACAACGAGCACAACACCATGTTCCTCGCGTGGGTCCGCAAGTTTGCACCTGAGCTCTCGGGCAGCGTTCGAGCGGCTGTCCGAGACCTGCTCGGCTCCGACTCGGGAGGCGCTGACTATGATGGATCTTCCGGCGGCTCGGTCGAGATGGTGGAGCTGGGCGGCGCGACGGCCAAGTCTGACGTGTCAAGCCACTCGCTGGCTGCTGCGAGCAACAAGGCCGGCGAGAGATTGGAGAGCAGCAGCAGCAGCTCGGTTGTCTCTGCCGAGTCGTCGACTCCTGCATCGTCGGCAAGCCGGTCGATGAGCCGGGCGAGTTTTCGCGCGGCGCGATCGGCACAGCTGGCGCGCAATTCTGAGCAGACATCTACCTTGCGCGGCGTCAAGTCGGCTGCTGGCGCAGGCTCGTCGTTCAGGGCGAGCGCGAGAGGCCGGCGATAGTCTTGCCAGACCCAAGTGAATTCCAACAGGAGCGGTTGACTGCCCCCCCCCCCCCCCCCGTTTGGGGGCTGTCCCCGAAATGGACAAAATCGAAGCCTGGTTCGTTCGATTCGTTTTCCATTGGTGGCGCCATAAAACGCTTCCAAAGGCGTGCCGAGCCAGCCAACCAGCAGGTCCTTCACCCGACTCTGTACCCCGCCACTCACAGTCCATTGCGCCACATCAACGCTATGGGCAAAGAGCACAAGTCGAGCGTGGTGAGCAGGCCGGCGATGACCAAGGAATTGCCTGTGACCGAGAATGTGGCTGACGGACTGGAGGATGATGACGAGGTGCCTGCTGCGTGCGCGTCTGTTTTCGGCCGGCGAGTTGGAGCGGTGGCAGACATGGCGTTTGATCTGTTCACGGTGGCGCTCAATGTGACGGACATTGTGAGCGATTTGCTCATTGCGTACGGCTACTACCAAGACGGATACATGGGGTTCTTCTACATCGCCATGGTCATCTTTGTGGTGGCGCAGCTACTGTACACAGCGCAGGGCGCGATGGCGATCATTGCGGTCGATGGTCGGATCCACTTTGACCACGGGGCGGGATCCCGTGCTACAGCCTCGTGGATCCGGGTTGTTCTTGTCTACCTGTTGATGCTTCCGTTTGGCCAGTTTGTCCCGCTGATGATGTGGATGTATACCAAGCTCAGGCTGCGGATCATGGACGCGTTTGTTTCTGCCTGCATCTGGTTCATCGCCAAGCCCGAGCTGCGCACAAAGCGGGCAGCCGATCGGGCGGCTGGGCGGTCGCCGAACGAGATCAGCGATCCTGGGTCGTCTCCGGATCCGCTGCGGGCCTACCTGCTCCGCAAGGCGATGACGCACATGGGCTTTGTGCTCGAGTCGCTCGTCGAGTCTGTTCCACAGTCGATCCTGCAGATGGTGGCGATTCTTGTGACCGGACAGGTGACCGGGCTTTCTGTGTTCTCGATCTGCGTCTCGATCGTGTCTGTGGCCTCCAAGGGCTTCCTCCTCTCGTACTCGATTGATCGGATCACGTTTGTGGTCAACTACCTCTCTTACGTGGTAGATGTCTTTCTCATCTTTGCCGAAATCTCGTGGCTGTTCTACACGCCCGAGTCTGGCTCTGCGGCGGCAGCATTGTGGTCCACAAGCGGCGGGGTACTCCCGATGACAACGCACGTGCTCACGCTGGTGTGGTTCTGGAAGTTCTTTGTCATGTGTGGGACGGCCGCCGCGCTTGCGCTGTACTCGGGATTTGTGCACGTCATTGGCATGCTCTTCAGCGCGCAGTACCGCAGCGGGCCTGTTGCCCTTCTTGACGTTCTCTTGCACTTTTTGGCCGCTGCTGGCATGCTCCTCATGTACGCGCCGGTGATGGTTGCGCTGGCGGCGTTCAAGTTTGCCTCGATTCCGCTTCTCGTCTCGCGCTCGCTCAACGACCCGTACTCGCGGTTCGCCAAGTTCTACTCGTGTGCCTTTGCCTGGCTCCGGGACGGGAACACTAACGAGCGCAAGGCCAAGTTGGTGGCGTTCAACCAGGCCATGATCGAGTTGACGCATCGCGGAACCAATAGGGTCTCAATTGTCGTTTGCGTGACTAATCTCTCGTCATACTCCAGGATGATCACCCAGCGTGTCATCCAGTACTTTGTTCTGCTCAACAACAGCGATGAGTACTCGTACGCCGAGCACCGGCGGCTGCGCGGAACCTCGATTCGCGGCTTTATCCAGTTCTGGGTCCAGAACTTCCGGTCGGACCTACAGAATGAGGAGGACTGGATTGACGTGCTACAGATGGTCTCGCTGCTCTGGGCCCAGTTTGTGCTTTCTCCGGTAGTGGTGGTCGGCAACGTGTTTGGTGCGGTCTATCCGATGGCAATGCTCATTGTCCATGCCCGCGCCACCGGCACTGTCCCGCCGCTGCAGCTCTTCCTCACGACCACCGTTATGGCCATCCAAGTTGTGCTCCTCCTGCTTTCGCCGGCAATGCTCCGGTTCAAGTACCTTTCGTCGCACATCGAGATGTTCCACTATCCAGCGCCCGACATCGACGAGACGATGACCGCCATCCTGGCCAGGTACGAGGCCGGAAAGCCCGGGGAAGAGATCCTGCGGATCCGGGCTATGTACGCAGCTGCCAACGAGCGCCTTACTTCGCGGCAGAGCTGGAGGGCCCGGCTGGAAAACGATCGTGGCAACATCAACGACTTTATCACTCGTCCGGCGAGCGTCAAGCCTGTCGTCGAGACCCAGGCCGCGGGCCGTGCGGTGGTAATCTCGGCGCCGGCGGTCAAGGTCGACGACGTGGCGCCCGATGACGATGTCGAGCGGCTGTGCGAGGCAGGTTGGCTTGGCGCCAACCGGTCAGCGTCGTCAAGCTCGAGCTCGAGCTCGGTGGTGTCGATGGTGTAAGCTAAGCTCAAGTTACTAAATCAGTGCCTGAAGGACGCCGGCGTCGTCTAGCCAGTCGCGGAGCGGGCCGTCGCGGAGCAAGTCCGCCAGCGACGCCAATGGCTCGTGCTGGATGCGGAACTCAAACGGTGCGGCCCCGAAGAGGACGTCGGCATCGGTAGCAAGGTTGAAGAGGCAGGTGCCGGTGCCAAGGCCATCGGGCGGGCCGAACGGATTGAGCTCGATGACGTATACGCGACCGGCGTCGAGATCGACGGCCAGATCAAGGACGCAGGAGGAGATGCCGAGGCGAGGGGCAAAGTCGTCAAAGGCGGCCTTGACCAGAGCCTCGACAGCGTCACGTGCGGCGACGAGCTCGTCAAAGCGGACGCCGACAAAATACTGCGAGAGAGCGGTGAGCTTGCCGTCGACGACAAAGCCGCGCAGCTCGGACCATGGCGGGAGCGAGACCCACTCGCGGAGGACAACATGCTGCGACCATTGGTGGGCGTGCTCGAGGGCAAGCGGGATGTCGTCGGCACAGACTCTGTCCGAGGACATGAGGCTCGCCACCACTTGGGCGGCCGAGTCGGAGCGGAGGGCCGCGATGCCGGCGGCCATGACGCTACGGAACACCGTGTTGGCGTCGAGCGTGGCGCCGCTCGCCAGCGCATCACCGAGCTCAGCCTTGATTGCATCCAGCGCCCGCGCCTCGCACAGGGTCGAGTCCTTCGGGCTCCGCGAGGAGAGCTTGGCAAACACGTTGCTGGCTCCGAGATCGACCATGGCGGCGGCGATGGACGCGGTCAGCGCCTCGAGCTCTGCGCTTGCTTCCTCGCTCAGTGATGCCCGGCCGCACTGCGCCTCGTATCCGGCCATCAGCGCACGTGCTGCGTCCTGGCTAAGGGGGACAAAGACAGTCTTGAAGGTCTCGCCTTCGAGCCGAGCGTACCACGCCTCCAGATCGCATTCGCGCAGCCGGGCATGAGCCTCGCGCTCTGCCGCCACCGCCGCCGCCAATCTGGCTGATCCGCCATCGCCCGCCCCTATTGCTTGATCCGCGTTGGTCTTCTTCAGGGACACCTTGGACAGTACAGATGCGAAGCTCATGGGTAGGTAGCCGATGGAATGGAGACAAGTGGCGAGTGTGAGGACTGTGTTTTGGGGTGTGCGGGTGTGTGGGTGGGGGGTGCTGAAAACTATGGAGTAAAATTTTATCACCCCCCCCCCCCCCCCTCCCCGGCTCTTCCCGGCACACTCCCGCCAACTCAGCCGAGTGCGACTTGGCGAGGACGGGGGTAAGAGCCACAGGGCACGAGCAAGAGCGAGAGGCCGCCACACCGGACTCGTGGCAAGACAGAACATTATGGACGACACGTTCGACCTCCTGGCAGACCTTGAGGCGCTGGATGACCTCGCCCCACCAGCGGCTGCTGCTGCTGCGGCGGCTGTTGCTGGTGAGGTAGGCGGCGGCGGCGGTGGCGATGTGCAGGAGATGGTGGTGGAGGACAAGGATGACGGCAGCGGGCGGTACAGCTCAACTGTCGCCGGTGGGATGGGTTGGATGGCTTGGCGGCGATGACTCGAATTGGCACAGGCGGAGGATCGGGGCTGAGTCAGCCGCCACCGGGACCGTCTTCTCTGCTGGCAGCGGTGCGGGCGACGGTCATGGAGGTGGTCAAAGGCGGCGAGGAGATGCGGCCGGGGCGCGGACCGGGATTGGATGGCTTTCTGGCAAAGAGCTATGGCTTTCTCTCAGAGGCATCGGCAAGGATCGCGGCGCTGGCAGGGTATCTGAGGCGGGGCTTTGGGAAGCGTTTCCCGGAGATGGACGCTCTGGTCGCCGACGATCTGGCATATGTCCGATGCGCGGCGGCGCTGGTGGCGCGGGATGAGGGGCGAGTGGTGGCGCTGGTCGAGACCAAAGACATTGCTAATCCCGAGCAGCTCTCGCCGGAGGAGGCGATGCGGGCGCGGCTGCGCGAGGTCCTCCCGCCGTCAGTGGCCATGGTAGTGGCGGTCTCGCTGGCGACGAGCTCGGGATCACAGCTGGCTGCGAGCGAGGCTGCGCACGTTTGCGCTGCGGCGAGCGACGTTGAGGCGCTGGTTGCAGACACGTCCAGAGTAGAGGGCTACATCGCGGAGCTGATGGACGCGTTTGCGCCGAACTTGGCGGCGCTGGTCAGCTCGCACATTGCGGCGCGACTGCTGGCACTCGCGGGCGGCCTCCCGCAGCTGGCCAACATCACGGCAGACTGCATCCAAGTTCTGGGCAAAGACGTTTCCAAGGCAGTGCAGGGGCTCGCGCGAACTGCGGCGCTCCACGAGGGCGTCATCTTTGAGGCACCGGTGGTGCAGTCGGCGCCCGACGCGCACCGGACCAAGGTTGGGCGGGCGGCGGCAGCCAAAGCGGCTCTCGCAGCACGGACAGATGCATCAGGCGGATATCCCGATGGGTCGTACGGTAAGCAGCTGCTGGGCAAGGTTGAGGCCAAGCTCGCCAAGCTGTTGGAGCCCAAAAAGGCACGGCTTGTCAAGGCGCTGCCGATTCCGGGCAAGAAGAAAGGCTCTCGGCGTGGCGGACGGCGGGCGCGCAAGGCCAAGGCCCGCTGGGGCGAGTCGGAGCTGGCCAAGGCGACGTCGCGTGTCAAGTTTGGTGCCGACGAGGACGACGGCTCACTCGCCGCCGCCGCGCTGCGCAACACGCTTGCCAAAGCCGCCGCGTCGGCACCAAAGCAGCCCAAGTTTTCCAAGGCGATGCGCAAGCGGCTCGCGGCCGACGCGCGACACGGCGAGTCGCCGGTCTCGCGCTCGTCGGGCGCAGCCTTGCTCGAGGTCAACCCTCACGCAGATCTGGCTCCAGAGGGAGCCGCTGACGACGGCGCGGTGGTGCTGGTCAATCCCGATGCCGCAACTGACGCCTCGTACCGGTCCTCGATCACATCGGCGGGCTACTTTGATGACGACGCAGGATTTACCGCGGTCGAGGTCAGCCGGAGCCGCAAGTCCGAGCCGGAGGCGGCAGCCGGCGAGCAACGGCCGACCAAGCGCCGGCGCACGCTCGAATCATGAGCTGTCTGTCGTGAGAGCCGAGCCGTCGTCGGTGGTCTCGTACTCGGTTGTCGACCATGAAGTGATGTCGAATGCGGCGCGGGACGGCTCGCGCTTGCCCGACGCCGCCCACGAGAGGCCACACACACCGGTGAGGGTGATGGCGATGCCGACCAGCTCGAGCCACGACGGTTCGATGCCGACCGTGAGGTCGAGCAGGACCGTAAGGGCGGCGGAGCCGTTGGCGATGGCCGTCACGATGCCAGCGTGGCCGACCGAGATGCCAACGTTGACGAGAAAGACGCCTGAGGCGAGGAGAGCGCCAGCGGCGGTGGCCATGGCGACCTGGGCGGCGGTTAGGTCGGTGGTCGCCGCGCCGCGCGCAGCTTGGATGGCAACGACAACGACGCCAAGCACGCCGTGGGTGAGCTCGTACACCACGTTGGCATGGGCCCAGTTGATGTTGCGACGGACAGCACCAAATTCGATGGCCAGGTTCGCGCCCGAGAACATGAGGAGAGTGCAAAAGGCAAAGGCGATGGGTGTAAAGGTGCCGCCGAGTCCGGCGTCGAGCGAGATGACGACCACGCCGGCGGTGGCCACGACCAAGAACACCCACTGGAGCGCAAGAAGCTTCTCGCCAAAGAACGCCCATGAAAGGAGCGAGACGAGGACACCAGCCACCGAGGCCACCGCCAGCACTGCGCCCTTGGCAGACTGATCGGCGTCAAAAGCAAGAGTGAGGGTGAGAGTGCCGATGGCATTGAACAGCGCCGAGAGGACCAGCACGCCATGATAGGCCCAGCCAACGCGGGCGACCTCGGATGAAGCGCTGCGCCAGGCATTGCGCGCGCCACGGCCAAAGGCCTGCCACACCGAGCCGGCGCCTTTGTCGTCGACGCCATCCATCGACGAGTGCGAGGCGTAGGCGAGCGGGCGTTCCGGTGACGGATCAGCGACCGTAAGCATGACGACCGCCAGAGCGCTCGTGACAACCACGCACACAATGCCGTAGCCGAGGTAGAGAAAGTGGATGACTGTAAAAGGAGCGGTGGGCCCTGCATCTGCCAGCGCCCGCCCCAGAAGAAAGGCCGCAAAGGCAAAAAGATGAGTGCACCCAGCGCGACCGCCACTGATGTCGAGACAATCTTGGACGTCATGCTGTGCGAGCTATCGCCGCCGCGGGCGTCTCCCTCGACCAGATCGTACGGCACACGATGGTCAGCATGTGCCGGCGATGGCAGATGCAAGTCGCTGTTCAGCGAGAGCAGCTCTGACAAGGTGCCATCGGTCTCGTTGGAGTACGTCGACTGTCCTCTATCCGACGTTTGGGAGTTTCGGGTTGAGCGGATGGAGCGGTTGGTTGAGTCGGCTGAGTGCAGTGACTCAGATGAGTGGGGTGATGATGAGTTGCGGCGGTGGGTGAGGCCAGCTGACGACACCAAGGAGGCCGAGTAGCTGTTGTATCTGCCCATGGGAGGGGAAGGGTGTGGGTGCAGACGTGAGGTGTGTGGGTGGTGTGGGGGAGTGGGGTGGTGTGAGTGGGGTGGGCGGGGCGGGCGGGCGACGGCGTCGCGGTGGCTGTGTTTGTGTGTTTACCGATCAGGCTCTTCGGCCCATTCTTTGGAGCGGGGGTCGTTGTGGCCATGGTCCTGGGGAATATCAACGGCCTGGACTCCGGCGGCAGCTTCCCAGACCTCGCTAGGACGCGGCGACTTGCGGGCGAGGACGTTGGGGTTTGCGGAAAGGGGAGCAGCAGTGTGCTTGGGCGGCGAGGCATGGGCAGCCTCGAGACCCTCCATGATGTAGCGGACATGCTCCTCGGGCGCGCCGTCGTAGGCGTACGACGACTCGCGATCCTTGTTGAAGCGCGAGGCCGGCCAGGGCGTCGAAGCGGCGGTGCGACCAGAGACCGGGAGCAGCGGAGTGGCGGCGGCGCGGTAGTCGCCTTCAGGCGAGTCAGAGTCCGAGCCCGCAAGGAGGCCGAGCTTGAACTGCTCCTGGACAATGACGTACGGCTCGGGAGCGAACCAGCGACGAACAAACTTGAACGTGACATCCGGGATGAGGGCGATGACCGGGATGAGGATGAGGGTAAACCAGAAGCGCGGGGCGGCAAACATGTACGGGGCGACGTAGTACATGGACCAGAGGTCGGAGAAGACCGGACCCATGAAGGAGAAGAGGAGGATGTACAGAAAGTAGCCACCGCCGTTGAGGGCAAGGGCAAGCCAGTTGAGCCAGGAAAAGGTGTTGGTCTCGAAGCAGAGCTTGACGGTGACGGTGACGACGATGCACGACATGATGACAAGGCCGTTGTAGTAGAGTCCAGCGGTCTGGCCCGACGAGTCGACGGCGCCTTGGCCGACGGCGGCCTCGCCGAGGTAGTAGAAGATGAGCGAGTGATAGAGCGAGGCGAGGAGCCAGCCACAAAAGCCGCGGATGGAGAAAAACCGGTTAGCTGGGCCGGTTCGGTAGAGGCGCGGCTGAGCGAGAAGCACCGCACGAGGCAGGCACTGGTCGTAGAGGCCGACAATGAGGATGGGGAGCGCGGTGTACGAGACGTTGTACAGCGAGAAGGTCCACTTCTCCACAAAGGTCTGGCCCGAGTACCCGTTGGCAAAGACAAACCAAAAGGGACGAGCGCGAGGGCGATGTTCTTGTAGAACGAGTAGAAGATGAGCTTGGCGATGCGGTGGTAGCACCAGTGGCCGTGGACGAGAAGCAGCGGCTTGAGGTACTTGAACTGACCGATGGCGTAGTCGGCGGAGAGAGCGGCCTGGCCGCCTTCCTCGCCATTGATGCCGACGCCGATGTGGGCCTCCTTGATCATGTCGACGTCGTTGGCACCGTCGCCAATGGAGAGGGTCACTGGGTCGAGCGCATCCTGGACGAACTTGACGACCTGCGCCTTTTGGGCGGGCGAGACGCGGCAGCCGATGACCGACTTGCACGCAGTGGTCAGCTCGAGGAGCTTGGCCGAAAGCGTTGAGGTGAGGTTGTGGACCTTGTCGGGGCGGCGTCCGGCCGGCCGAGGAGCATCTCGAGGGTGGTACCGTCGACGACGCAGGCGTACTCACGCGACGCGGCGCCCGACGATGACCGAGTGGTTAGCGCAGAACCGAGCTCGTCGAGGTAGCGCTCGAGGAGGGCGAGGAGGTCAGCGTGGCTGAGAAGCGTATCGTCGTCCTCAGAGCCAGCGTTGACAACAAACAGACGCATGTCTTCGTCGAGGAGCTTGCACGACTTGCCAATCATGATGGCGGTCTCCTGCTTGTCGCCGGTGAGAACCCAGACCTTGATGCCGGCCTCGCGGAGCGAGGCAATGGTGTCAGGAACCTGATCCTGCAGCTTGTCTTCGATGGCGGTGGCGCCGACGAGGGTGAGGTTCTGCTCGATCTCTGCAGCGAGGTCAGCAAGCTCAGACTTGCGGGCCTTGTCCTCGAGTTCGAGCGCGGCGTCTACGCGGGCCTGCCAGGGCTCGTACTCGGTAGGGTCGAGCTCGCGGACGGCGCAGACAAGCGTCCGAAGACCGTCCTTGGCATAGGCGTCGAGGTGGGCCTGGGTCACGTTTGCAGTAGCCGAGTTGATGGCGTCGCCCTCGGCGAGGAGGTCGTAGATCATGGTGTCTGCGCCCTTGCAGTAGAGCATGATGCGGTCGTCGGGAGTGCGGACAACGACGGACATGCGCTTGCGGGTCGAGTTGAAGGCGTTGACGTGGAGAACGTCGTACACGCGCTCGGTGGCGTCGTAGATGCGGACGGTGACGGTGGAAGGGGTGCGGGCGATGAAGCGCCAGCCAAAAGCGGCGGCAGCGTTGACGAGGGCGCCCTCGTCGGGCGAGGCGGCCTGGTAAACGAGGCCACCGGGAGCGTCGGGCGCAGCCTCGGGGATGACGGTGTGGCACACGCCGAGGAGGGTGAAGAACTCTTCGGTGATGCGCCCGAGCTCGGGAGAGGCGGCGGCGTGGACAAGGCGCTCGTCCTCGTCGACAAAGCAGACGTGCGGGACAGGGGTGGAGGCGACAAATGGGGCCGAGGCGAGGTCGGTGAGGCCCGGCAGCGGGTGGGCGGCAGGGTGCGGATCCGGCAGCGGCGGGAGGGTGTCTGCGGGCGCGGCGTAGGTAGCGGTGCCCTCGCCGTAGGCGCGGCCGCCGATGGTCAGCTTCTTGAACTCCATCAGGTTGCAGGTCAGCGTGCCGGTCTTGTCGGAGAAGATGTACTCGACCTGGCCGAGCTCCTCGTTGAGGTTCGAGGTCCGTGAAATGCACGGGATGTCCTTCTCGCCGTAGTACATGGAGACGTCCTGGTCGATGAGCTTGGACTGGCCAAACTTGACAGTCTCCATGGAGACGTAGAGCGAGATGGGGATGAGGTTAGAGAAGAGAATGAGAAAAGTGAGGAAGGAGAGTGCGCCTTCCGAGGCCGGCGAGACCGAGCCGAGCATGAGGTAGGTGGCGTCGTCCTTGGAGGTTGTGAGCCAGATGCCGTTGCCGACGGCGCAGATGATGCAGAGGAGGAGCTCAAAGAGAAAGACGAGGACGATGAGGGTGTTGGTCACCCGCTCGACGTTGGACTTCTTGAGGCGGACCTTGTTCGACGACTTCATGATCTTGGTGTCCTGGCCGGTGTAGACGACGAGGCCGTAGACCCAGCGAGTGTTGCGGAGCTGCGACTCGCGGAGCAGAATCTGCTTGTTGGAGACGCGAAGCGTGCCCGAGGCGACCGAGTTGAGCGCGAGCTCGCCGGAGAACGAGTACATGGCCGCATTGGGCGGGTCACAGCGCAAGGCGCCCCGCAGATGCGAGATCTCGCCATACAGCTCAGCAGTGGCAGGCAGGGCTTGGCGGATCTTGAGGTTGGTCTCGCCGTCGAGGTTGGACGTCTCGATGTAGCACATGCCTTGCGGCCCGGACGAGGCGAGGAGGAGCAGATCAGCAGGGAAAAACTCTTTGTCAATGCATCGGACAATGTCACCGACGACGACCTCGCGCCAGGTGACTTCGAGCTCGATGCCATTGCGAAGAACGGTAGTGTGACGGTTGTTGACGCCGTCATCGTTCCGATGACGATGCCAATCTTCCAGAGCTTCTTTGACGGCGGTAAAGCCAAGAACAACAGCCAGAGTCAAAGCAGTCGTACCCGAACCAAGAGGAGAGACACCTGGGATTTGTTGGAGAATGGCGATGAGGAGAAAGTAGACATTAGCAATGCGACCAAACTGTTCGTAGAGGTTGAGAGGGAGAAAGGTGAGCGCTGTGTACTTGTACGTCTGAATTCGATTGTGCCGAAAGCCCCGTGTTGCGTTAGCTTCGGCTGCGTTGACGTCGATGACCCGAATGTGTTCTCCGCCTCCTCTTCCCCAGCTGTTGCCCATCCTACTCCTTGCCTGTGACTGTGAGTGGGGTGTGTCCGTCGCTGTGGCTGTGGTTGGTTGGGTGTGTCGAGGCGGTGTGTGGCATGTGCGGGCATTGGGTGGTCGGATCGAATGCAGTGCGTGGGGACAAG